AGTAGGAAATATTCAACCTTCAGTCATACACTTCTTTTGAACTCTTTAGGGCGATACTGAATAATATTGAGTATGAGTTGTTGTCCATGTTCTTGAAAATGTGTTAAATTTTTAGCTCGTGAAAACTTTAGAAGGCAAATATTCAATCTTCAGCGTAGGACTAAATAATAAAATCAAGTCAAGAATCATGCCTTTTAGAGTTTAAGAGCCAAATTTGAAAGCGTTTTCAAGAACAAGGGCAGTAACTCATACTAAATATTTTTCAATTCTTCTGATTTTTAATAGGGTTCATCCTTGGGTGATTACGAACATTCAAACCAAGTTTCATCAAAATCCGTCAAGAATTGTGCCTTCTAGAGTGATAACGAGCTAAATATTAAACGCGTTTTCAAGAGCAAGGGCAATAATTCATACTTAATATTTTTTGATTTCTCTGATTTTCAATAGGGTTTATCCTTGGGTGATAACAAACACTCATGCCAAGTTTCATCAAAATCCGTCAAAAATTGTCCCCTCTAGAGTGTTTACGAGCTAAAAATTTAACACGTTTTGAAGAACAAGGGCAATAACTCATAGTTAATATAACAGACATGGGTGACGGCAGTCTACGTCCCCAATTTCATGTGGGCGTATAAAAACAATGAAAACTTAAATCTATATTTGAATAATATAGAGTACAGTGGAAGTTGGAAAGTGGTGAAATTTGACACAAACATCTGTTTCTTTATCCCTCTACTCAATGAATGGCTGGTAAACTGAGAAGATTATTTTCTTTCAATGCACAAAGTTAAATTCTGTTCAACTCATGTCCAAACACTGTAATCAAATGGAAATGAAATGAAAAGGAGATATTCGCCCTTATTTTCATTTCCAGATTGAGTTAAATAAGACGCCCAAATTTGACAGGAATCACTGACAGTTTCTTCATATGTAATAAAAACATTCCAACTTTTTATTGCAGCCTGCGTGATAAAAACGTGATAAAAACGTGCTTTTCAATTCGCAAATATCCTTCCAAATGTATCTTTCTTTTCTTGGCATAGCAACCCACCAATCAACAACATAATAGACCTACAACAAATTAACCAAGAAATATCCAATTGAAATCTCCTAGGCCTACTAAGAATAAAAAAAAGCTTTGAATGAGCGGATAAAACACTAACATCATTCACATTAAATTGTATAACCAAAAAATCTTTCAAAAGAAAGTACACATTCTATTTTAAGAGTAAAATACCCGGTAACAAAAATATTGCAGCATATTTTTAAATATAGATTTTTTCATTTATGATTTAGTCAGTGAAAGAAATTCTAAGGCTAAGGTGTGAAACAAAATAACCAAATAATCCACAAAACAAAATAGATCTGTTGTGTAATAGTAGGCTTATGCTTTAGTTGTAAACAGCAGCGGGCCAAATGTATTGTGATATTACAACCCACGTCTGGCAAATGGTTTCTCAATTACTGAGGTAATAACACACAACAAAAGACATACACGCGCACTTCCCACACGACGAAACTCGGCGTATTTCGTTGAGAAAATATCTACATAAATATAATCCAACAGAATTTCATTCAAAATAAGCTCCAATTTGGTCATTTCTTCAAAAAATACATGAACATCAAATCAAACTTGATACTAAAAATAGACAAATACACACTGACTCATTCATTCTTATTCTCGCGCGTGCAATTTTCATGCATGTCTGTCATCGTAACTTACCTTGGTTTCAAACACTAATCCCTTTAACGTTAATCCATCAACTCTTAATCCTCGGACAGACGACACAGTTTTAATTTACGTTTAAAGAATCCAATTCACTTTTTCCTCACCATTTCACGGTATATTGAAAGAGAACGAAGTGTGTCTGCTGCCGGCAGAATGGTTGACTGTACTGGGTCAGCTAGCACCAAGTACCCGGATGATCATTCGCCCTGAACCTGCATAATGATGCCATGTTGTCAGACACCATGAATCGATTCCTGGGGGCAGCGAGTTCGTAGGCCCATTAATATCGTGGACCGAGGGGGTGGGAGGAGGTGTGGATTGATTTTACTGGGATCGGAGAATTAATTCTAAATGGATTAAAAATAGAATCACTGGACTTTCATCTGATAATCCAGGTATCCAAACCAATAGGACAATGGAATCGATTCCTATAACTATGCCTTTGGGTTTAGTTTAGGCCTACCTAGTCCTAATGTTTTTTGGACTGATGGTGGGGGATAAATTGCCTTCTTTCATGGGCATATATGGTCGATGGACCAAGGGGGCACGAGGTGGAATTTAAAGCTATTATTTGACTGGCTTGCCGTTATTTAGGCCTAAATGGAATTGATAAACATCATCGTAGCATCATAAGTGTAGTCTAGCATCTTTGACTGAGAAATATTGGTTCTAGAAAGTGGAACTAGATGTGGGTGAAGGGACTATGTATGGCTCTGAAAGCAGACGACAGGACTAGGTCGTTATATATCTGATTTTGTGCGATCAAATATTGCCATAATATTTTCATTGTTAAATTATTTACTTTAAAAACCATTGATCCGAGACGAAGTTAAAGTCGATTTGACATTGTGAGCGCATGAAATGGAACATCTGCTAACAAGGATAAAGACCATAACGTTATGACATAGGCCTATTTAGAATCGTAGGCTACACGTGCGAGTAACAAAAAGGGTTCACGTATTAATGGAAGATCAAGCTTTTAATAACCATATACACATAATACACATCACATTTTCAAGGAGGCAGCGAGGTTCTTTGGACGGCAGATGAATATGTTTGAAGAATTGAGATGATTTTCAAAATTTAAAAATTTGTCATAAGTAGTGGTCAAATGAGAATTGATTTCCTTGAAGTAAAACGTGGTCCCATGTTAATCGTTAATATTTCATTACAAATTTCAATTCTTGGAAGCAGTATAGCCCTATATAGGCCTTTAGGGCTTTGGGAAGCAGTTGTGCATGACATCATAGGCCTAATTTCTGTTCCTCCAGAGTGATTCGAACCTACCTAAAGTGTTTTCATTACATTGTATTGTTGAGACAATTTTATGGTCAGAGCAAGAACATTTTTATAATGAGTTTTTTTGACCTTCACAAGGTTATAAAAATGTCTTAACGCGAAACTTGCTTTATGGGCTCATTAAATTACAAAGGGAAAGATTGTAATTGTAAGGGATTCTTTTGATCGTAAGGAATATAGCTTTGGATAAACATCGGTCCGTATTATATGCCTAAGCGTAGTCTATAGTTTAGCAAAGCGTGGATCAAATGAAAAGCTTAGTGACGAACCACCCTCTCTCTTCTTCCAATGTGTTTTCGGATGATCGTCATGATTTTTTTGAGCAAAACACTACTGTAGTGTTTCGCTCAAAAAAATCATTACGATCTTCCCTGTCCCCGTCTATTCCTCTATTTTTTTCTGTCTCTGATTCCGTTCTACCAACTTCCGTGTCAACCTTCATCTTTATTCCCTCTACCTGTTCTTTCCCTCTTGTTCTTGTTCTCCCATTCAAATCTATAACTTCCCTCTGTCTCATGCTTTCTTGTTGACTACATTCCCTAGGTCTCTATTCCATTCTTCATGTTGTATTTTTTATTTCCATCTTCTTTACTCTCTTCCTCCCGAGCTCAATGAGTTAAATCCGAAAGTCCATGCAGGGTTCTGATGTTTAATCCGAATTTCCCGTCAGTGATGTGGGTAAGAGGAGAAAAGGGTCTAGAGTCGTTCGGAGTTAGCTACTATGCACGTTTAAAAGATCGCTCGACAGCTGAAAATCGAAAGAGTGAAGGTCAATGCCACTGTCTTGGCTAAATTATATCCCTCATTGCACACTGCATGACGTTGCCTGTCTTCATCAGCCCAGAAAAGAGGACATAAAACTCCATTTATCATTTCATTTCATTTCTATTTCAGAGTTCAATTTTAGCGACATCGTAGTTAAAATAACCCTTTTGTGATTTAATACTTTAATAAATTATTCATCACGACGGACTGCGAATCCAATCACAATATATTGTATATTTTTCGTGAGAATTATTGTTTTCAGTAAGTAAGATTAAGGAGTCAACTGAGATTAAGCAACACCCGGTTGCCTCTATAAACCATGGGGAACTATAGACCATTAAGTCTTAGAAATGCATTGTATCTTGTTTTATAATATCATTATTTTATATTAACCTTTTCAAGGCGTCATGTGCTAGGTGTCTACAATCCAAACATTTTGAAATGCCTCCAAATTTTATGAAATGCGAATCCGAATTTAGATTGATTAACACTGAAATTCGGTGTATTCAAAATTGTCACTCTAAATTGAACCCTTCCATGCTGTTAACGATAAACGTTCAATGTACATGTATTGGCCTATTGCAAATTTATGAATTTCTATCCAATTTTCTTACAATATTATTGGAAATCTAATGTTGAGCCATTTCGAAACTTAAATTGTGATCATGGAATTGTTCCGAAACGGTAGAACGAGTGGCCCCGTGCCTACAATGTAAGAATTTCATATCAATTCTTAAGTACGAAGATTTAGTTTTTGTCTGATTTATAGTATTTACTAAATTTTGTTGTCCCCCTTCCATCAGATACAATAAACTTTTGGTGTACGGACGGAAAAATCAATCCATATGTTATACTTATATACAAAAGCAGAACAGCATTTCGTGTAGAATTAAAAACTGACATAAATTTGTCTAAATTTTAAAAGAATTTGTAAGACACTTCACAAGCAGTTTTTGTCCAAAATGATAGTTGGCTATTTTAATTTATGTGCTTACAAAACAGGGTTAAATTCTATTGATTTGGGTGGTTGAAAATAGTTTTCAATTTCCTTTCAATAAATTTCGGATTTCAAATTTCTTGGCCAATAATCATGGGTCGATACGACTCAATTTATTACATTTAGGTCGAAATGTCTTGGTTTTGGTTGGAATTGAGCTCTTCAAGAATGAAAACTCAAAACAGCGTACCACATGTTTTTATTTTGTCACATTGTGTGACTTTGTTGTAAAATACCACTTTTAGCCCAAATTAAGGACATAATACCATTTAGTATTTGTACTGTCACGAGTGACTTCAGAACTTTTTAAAGACAGAATGGAAAACGACAAAAAATATATTGTTGTAAGTTGTAATTTTTTTTTTGCAAGGTGCATTTCAAGATTATTTTTCAAAAAAAATAGCAGCAAAATTGAACAGTGGACAATAATGCAAAGTAGATAGTCAAGCCTTCATCGCCCCCTCTTTTGTTTCTTAAATTGATACTACGTCTTAGAATGAACATGATATTAAGTTCTCAAAATGGTCAATATGAGTATATTCATCAGTTAGCTTACCTGGTGTCATTAAGGTACAACAAAATCCCTGTAAATTCTGGAAAATTGTAAATTCGTAAAACTATGTAAGCTTGATATCAAGATTAAGCATTTTTCAATAATTAATTGCATATTTATGGATGCTTACTAAGTTTTTTTGATTTATCGGATCCTGGTATGTTATTTATGACACCATGTATATCTACTGGCTCTTATTCGCCAAGTTTAATTTTATGTTAGTTCTAAGACGTAGTATCACTTTAGTGTCAAGCCATTAAAATCTTCATTTAAGAGTCTGTATATAGATATAGACAATACTTGGACATGACTGGCAAATTCAGCCATATCCAAATCTACACCCCTGATGAAGAGAATGTTTCAACTGTTTGACATTGACATTGAAACGACCTTCTGCTTGTTTTGGTAACCAATTAACTGATGTTTTTACATTCCACAAAAGGTTTGTCACTAACCAGGTCACATACTTAAAAAATCCTGAATTTTGAATTCAATGAAATAGTAGTCATTTTACTCTCATGTTGCCTGTAATTATTTTACAATTATTCAAACCAAATGTGTGTATGTATTATATTTGCCTGAGAATGTCTGTGTGTGCAGATATGGCTAGCAAATTCAGTATGAGGGGCAGTATGCAAAATTTTCATTACAAAAAATTATATGCTTGAAAATATGGTATCACCGTAACATTTGTTTTGTTAGTATCACGTTAAACTGTGACCTTTGAACTTTTGACTGCGCATGTAGTTTTAAATGGATGATGTTAGATCAGTTTCGCCAAAAAAACTTTGATGGAACCGGACACATGACATAAATGGTGTAGGGAGAAAAGGATGGTATGACTGTGCAGATGTGGAATGTCCCCATTTAGCAGGGTTGTTATTTTTTTGTTTCTACACCAGCTGTCATCTGTCAAAATAGCTATCAGAGGCTGGAACAGAGACAGATGTTTCCGTCTAGGTTTGGCGTTGCACCTCATAAAGACAGTCAAAGCTCTATACTTCTAGTAGAAACCTTTAGAATACATAGGACACTGGTCATTCCATCTCCAATTAGCCATTTTTGGAAAATTTTCTCAATTGACTCTCTCTGATTCTTCTGAAAGAATCTACAGATGTTCCTATACCAAAGATATGTAAAATTCACGAATATTAGGTCTGTATCCCAAAAAGTGTTGGAATCCAAAGCTCCTGGAAATTTAGGGTAATTATTTGAATTTAATCTAAAAAGTCACTTTCCAACAAAGATATATGGCACAGTTTTGAAAATCACTAGAGCTAACTTTTCCTGTAGAATCTGAAAATATATCAGATATAAAATATCACATACCCTTTTGTCCTCCTTAAGCTCTGAAAATGGTTGAAAATTAAAAAATGACATTCATTCCACCTTTGAGTGCTTATTACAAAATGTAGCACAGTTAAAATATTTAAAAAGTGTTTGATTTCTTGCTTGTAAACACTCTAAAATTTTGACAAAATTATTAATTATCACTTCTTATTTAGCTAAGCTTTCATAGGCTTACCATAATCTGAGTTTATTTGAGTTATAAATTGTTTTTTTTTAAGCTAGGAGATGACTATAAAGGATATCCATTAAATATGTTCTGTGTACCCAAACATTATGAAGATGATTTAGAACATGTATTAATACCGGCTGGTTTGATAAATGACAGGTAAGATTCATCACTTTCTCACCCCTGTTGATTAATTTCACTTGCTCACCTACCTAAAGCTTGTATTTCTGAGACAAGTTGTCTTGATGAGGATATTTTATCGAATGAAAGTCTGCAATTTTTGATGAACTCTAAATAAATTTGAGAGCTCCATGTTATTTTAGCAAAAGAATAATTGAGAATTTTTTGCCATACTGTCATGAGTTTGTAAATTCTGCATCCATTTTCTAGAGTTTACAAAACTAAAATGTTTTTTTTGGTATTTGGTATCTTAAGCCTGCTGCAGATGAGAGGAACTAGCTGAGCTGTCTGCCTCAAGAGGTTGGGAGCTGAGCTGTTTCGCCCGTGTGCGGTGAATTTTTAGTGATATTTCTGCCTTGAGAGGCTGCAAGGAAAATATCTATAGATGTTGTTTGATATTTTATGCCTCAAGAGGCCAGATATTCACCGTGTGCGGGCGTCAAAGCTGCCAGCCTAGCTAGAAAGAGTAGATAACCAATAGAAACGCATGGTATCATTATGGTAACCGTAAATGATGCAATTTTAGAAGATCAACCTCTCGAGGCAGGCAGCTCAGCTAGTTCCTCTGGTCTGTGGCAGTCTTTAAGTAATATTTAGAGCACAGTTTCCATATTTTAAGGGATTGTAAAGATGTTTTTGTGAATCTGGGACACATTGACTTCTATTTGGGACATTGCAATTCTTTGTCCTGTGGTTCCTGCATTTCCAGAAAGAGTTAACTAGAAATGACACAGCTCTCCCGCAAGAGAAATTATACCAACCTACGAGCAGACCTCAATTACATGGTTATATATGTTATCTCCCCTTACAAGATGGTGGCATTTCTAACTAAGAATTGCTGACTCATTCACAATTTGCTTCACAGTTGCCTTTTAAAACTCTTTACTACGTCTTACATTGCTTAGTTTTAACGAAAATATTTGTGGGATAAACATCCTTATTGATGATAAAATGGCCGAATTAAAAAACAGTGAGGCGACCATTTTGTAAAGCAAGTTAGTCCAGTAATACTGCTTCTATTGGACTAACTTAATTTACCAAATGTTTACATCACTGTATTCGAAATGGAATATTTTATCATAAATATAAGGATATCTAACGCTCTGATTATGCTAAAGTGAAGTAATTTCAAACTTATATGATTTTCAGAATTGAAAGATTAGCCAGAGAAATTATCCAGGATTTCCGTCACGAGGCTATCACAGGGCTGTGTGTATTAAAAGGGGGATATAAATTTTTCACAGACCTTCTTGATAAAATTAAGGCACTGAACAGAAATAGTGAGGAATCAGTGCCACTTGCTGTGGATTTTATAAGGGTTAAAAGCTATACGGTGAGTTCTGAACGATAATTTGTTGAGGGAGGGAGATGCAAACATGAATGCCCCTTTTATGAATGAACAGAACAGAAAAATATATACAATATATATTAACTATATGCATGCATATTTTTTTGATTTGCCTTAGAACTGTTTGTGCCTTTTGACTTGCTAAACATTTAACATTTTGACATTTTAAAGAGATAGTAAAGAGCACGAGTAAAAATTTTGATGTGTAGTGGGGGACAGATATCATTGATTTTCTTTGAATTACTTGTGGATCTTTCTGTTAAAGGGATATTCTCGTCTAAATATTTGTGCTCTTTCCATACATACTTCACATTTCAATTTGAAATCTTGATACCACATATTAAAAATGTAACATTTTATATTTAGGTTAGTTCAACTCAGGTAATTGCTTGTTGTGATTATTGTTAAATCAAAGTTCTCTTAATGATTTAGTAGTCAGATTTCACTTAGACATTTCATTGTCCACCATATTTTTTCTTATTACTTATTTTGTTGTTCAATACCATCCATTTTTACTGATCATTTTTGCAGCTCTTTGTTCTCATTTAGTATTGTTACTCATTTGGTATTGTGGCTCATTTAGTTTTGTACATGGTTACTAATTTAGTATCGTGCCATAAATGTATGCCACATCAAATAATGCTGAAAATTACCTGGTTGGTGAAATCACTAACTGTTTCAACATTAGATTCTGTCATATTTAGATTTTCATTTACTTACACACTGTGGCTCATTAAGTTGTTTAGTTGTTTGTTTAGTTATTTTGTGACTCATTTAGTTTATATTTTGTCTTGTTTAGTTGTTCTTAGAGGCTTATTTAGTTGTAGATAGTGTCTTGTTTACTTACCTCATTTATTTACACATTGTACCTTATTTATTTTTACATTGTGCCTCATTTACTTACACATTGTTTTTCATTTATTTTTTACGTTGTGCCTCAATTACTTACACATTGTTCTTCATATATTTTTTACGTTGTGCCTCAATTACTTACACATTTGTTCTTCATTTATTTTTTTACGTTGTGCCTCAATTACTTACACATTGTTCTTCATTTATTTTTTACGTTGTGCCTCAATTACTTACACATTTGTTCTTCATTTATTTTTTTACGTTGTGCCTCAATTACTTACACATTGTTCTTCATTTATTTTTTACGTTGTGCCTCAATTACTTACACATTTGTTCTTCATTTATTTTTTTACGTTGTGCCTCAATTACTTACACATTGTTCTTCATTTATTTTTTACGTTGTGCCTCAATTACTTACACATTGTTGCTTATCTAATTGTATATTGTGGATCATCTATTTCTAAATTGTGGATCATTTAGTTGTACATGGTGGATTATCTATTTGTATATTTGGCTGACTTAGTTGTACATTGCGGTTCATCTATTTGTATATTATATTACAATATGGCTCATTTATTTACACAATGCGACTCATTTATTTATACAATGTGGCTCATTTATTTAGGCATTTTAAAACCATGTCATTTACTCAAAGATTGAGGCTCATGTACTTACATATTGTGGCTGATTGTTGTTCATTTACTTGTACTTTGAGTTCATTTACTAATTTTCATCTGAATTAATAGATAGGACTAGATGTGTTGGGTAAATAAGTTTTCTTATTTTAAAATGGCTTAAATTAAAAGTATTTTTTGTATTTTGAGAGTGTAAAATACAAAGATATGTAGGTTGGGTAGATTTGGTAGATTAGTCTTAAAGCTGTCTTTCTTTCATAAAGTAATATTAATTATTAAAAACTTGGCTTGGCTTGTTTGTCCACCATTGAGAGATACCCCTTCAGACTCTCCATTGTAGGGTTGCATGTTTGGTGCTTTGACAGCGCTCTCACGTTTTGAATCTCAGTCCTGAGAGTAGTCTCCATTCCTGCTATAAAATCAGTTATTTGTACCCCAAGGTCCAAGAGGCCGATGCTGCCACCGGGGAAAGTTTGTTTTTATAGCCAAACGTTGGAGGAAAACAGTATGACTTAAACTCACATTCATCTGATTTTATAATGCCTGTGGTAATAAATGATCAAGGAAGATAACTCTGTTTTTCAGGGAACAACATCAGGGGAGATGACTGTAACTGGAATTGATAATTTAGAGAATTTAAAAGACAAAGTAAGACAGGTTTTTTTTTGGGTGCGAAGGTTATAGCTTATCAACAAGTTTGATTTTGAATTAGGAACTGTGGTGGCATAGGGGGGTTAACTTACAGCCCTGTTTGGTTTTAGAAAGGAGGCTTCTGTGGTTTAAGAGTGGATGAATGGGAAGGGATATAATTTACTGGCCTATTTGGTTTTGAAAAAGAGGCTTTGGTGGTATTGGGAGGGGGGGGGGGGTTGAAAAAGAGGCTGTATTTGGATTTGATACTGGCCTATATGGTTTTGAATAGAGAACTAGGTGGTTGCCCTGCCAGTTGAACATGTTGCTAACGAACTGCTTTTGCCAATTTAGTTGAATTCAATTTTTCAGGATTCAAATTGACTTTTGTATGAAAGTAGAGAATAAGGATAATATAGTGTAGCAAAGATATTTATATCTGATTCAAAACGTAAATACTTTATAGAGTTATTGCCCTTGTCATTGCAGAATGTATTGATAGTAGAAGATATTATAGATACCGGTAAAACTATGATCAAATTACTAGAAATATTACAAAAATACAACCCCAAATCCATCAAAGTTGCAAGGTAAGTTTAATTTAATCAGGCAGAGATGTCATATGCCATTGATGATCTGAGGAGATTATTCTTTAAATTGTGTTCAGAAAGTAAACTTTATAGATTAAAATGGGCCAAAAGTTTTCCTAATTTATGTTAACTAATCAGAATGTTGGCCCCTCTGACCTGTATCACTGACAGTGGAAACTGGGTTGAGAAGTATGAAGGTATTATCTCAACCTATGATTTAAGACAGTTTTACTTTAATTTCAGTTTGTTAACCAAACGAAGAGCAAGTGGTACAGGATTTAAACCCCATTGTAAGTGATATATTCTCTTTTCATCTTAATACTTTGTTTATCAAATGATAAACCTTAATTTTCAGAAGGTGAATTAACTGATGTTCAGTTCGTCTTAATAAAAGAAAACTGTACTAATGACAGTTATAGGTTGTATTGTAGCAGATGAACCAGACATTGGATTATTACAATATCTTTGAAGTGATTTGATAATATTTCTTTCTATTTCTATATTCCTACTTGGAGATGTGGACGTATAATGCTGTCGCCCTTGTCGTTCTGTAGATCTCTCCTTTGACATTTCTTGTAGGCACGATAGAGACTACCGTTTTTATACAATCATGATGTAATTGGTATGTATGCATGTAATGATAAGATCTCGGTCTCAATGGGATGAACGGTTTAGAGTTATTGTCCTTGACTTTACTTAATTTGGCTTGTAGGCATGATAGGGGCTACGGTTTTTATCCAATCTAGATGAAACTTGGTTTGCATGTCTACATTGAAAAGATCTCACTCAAGTTCGCATTTGGTAATAATCGGAAGAACGGTTTGAGGTTATTGCGCTTGACTTAGTAAAAACTTTCCAAATTTGGCTTGTAGGCCCGATAGAGACTACATTTTGAGATCTTGTTCAAATATGAAATTGGTAATAATTGGATGAATGGTGTCAGAGTTATTGAGGTTGTCTTGTAGGAATGATGGAAGCTACATGAAATGGGGGGCATATATTGTCGTCACCCATGTCCGTCTGTCCATTCACAATTGCTTGTAAAAACTCTTAAAGGCACAATTCTTGACTGATTGTTTGTAATCACCCAAAGATGAACGCTATTGAAAATCAGAAAAAATTGAAAAATATTTAGTATGAGTAATTGCCCTTGTTCTTGAAATGCTCGTAAACACTCTAGAAGGCACAATTCTAGACAGATTTTGACAAAATTTGGTGTGAGTGTTTGTAATCACCCAGCGATGAATCCTACAGAAAATCAGAGAAATAATAAGTATGAGTTATTGCCCTTGTTCTTGAAAATAAACACCTCTAGAAGTTAAAAAGCCAAAAAAATTTAAGATATTAATATGGGTTATTGCCCTTGATTCAAAAAAAATGTGTTCAATCTTAAGCTCATAAACACCTCAGAAGACTAATTCTTGACTGTTGTCTTGGTGAAATTGTATATTAACACCTAACGATGAACCCAATCGAAAGTAAAAAAAAATTAAAGGGCTGTAAATAAAGCTCTTGCAGTATGAAATATTTAATTTATTGATAGCTCTTGTCAACCTCCCGAACAACTTGGCTGTCATTACAATTTAGGGTGTATTACAATGGCCATCTCTTTCCTTGATGTTTTGTCTAGACTTAAAAATAGTTTTAAAGATTATTTGAAAATTCATAATTATGCCACTAAAGATTTTGTTATCAATTCTAACAGCTGGTAGTGGGTGTAGGTTACCCTGCCTGGGAAGCTATCTTTGTTATTTTTAGATTTAGGTTCGTGAATACGAGTGATATGATAATATTTCTTTCTTTGTTATTTTAAGATTTGGGTTTTGAAGTGCCAGATAAGTTTGTAGTAGGATATGCATTAGATTATAATGAATACTTTCGTGACCTCAATGTAAGTTTCTTTTCATACCGGTACATATGAACCATCAACGATGAATTACAAGGTATCGGTAATGTTCACACAATTATATGGCATATATGAAAACAAGTACAGACAGAAGGAATACAGGTGGAACAAATCTTGAATTTCTTGAATTTCACTTTAGTGTATACGCACAAAAAAGAAGGTAGTGCTTTGGATATTAAAATTGATGGATGGCTGTGCTGGAAGACTTTAAATGACATGTTCCTAAAATATTTTCAACTCATAAGCATCTGTTTCCAATATTCAGTGCTGTTATAGAAGTAAATTAAATTTCATCCCATTTCTTGCAATTTGTGTCATTTATGCCCTGTTCAGTAGTGTTTGTATGATTTTTTTCTTCAATTTCAGCATATTTGTGTAATAAATCAACATGGCATAGAAAAATATACTACCAAGAAATGATGCAAGAGCTTCATTATATATATTTCAAGTATACAGATATCCTCCATCTGGTGTCCCCTTTTTATTCCTAAATTCATAATCCTTACACACTCAAATTGCAAGAACAAAATTTGTGTCTTTTACACAATATAGGAGATTTGTTTAAAATGCTATTCCATTCAAATTTTGACAACAAGTGTGTTTATTTGAATTTTCACTCAACATTTTGTATGTGAATAGTTCAATTAAAGAAGAAACAACATTTTAAAGATTTTTATCAGACATAACTGGCAAAAACACTTTACCATCAGCCCTTGGCATTATTAAACATTGGTAAAAAGCCATCTTGAAGGACTTGATGATATAGGGCTATTTTTAAAGAAAAGAGGCATCTATGTATAGACCTACAAAGACACTATTAGACATTAATTTTGGCAGCAGGGCATTAATTCATTGATTTCTATTAGTATTTATTGTTATCTTTAACAGCAACACGTTTTCAGGTTGTGCTTTTGTATTGCTATTATTGTATATATATATTTCTCAATTAAATATTCTGGCATTATCTTTTTAAAAAAATAATGGATTAAGTAATTATTGGTAAATGTTGTAGTTATTTCTTGATTAAGTTGAAATTCTAAGGTTTACGAGTCAGGATTTGAGATCCAACCCATAAGTAAGCAGACACACTCAACATTACAGTAAAATTATTAAGAAAATCTAACATTGGTCTCAATGGCATCATTGGTGTATTTGTATCGTGTTACAAACTGAATAAATGACAAGTCATTTTGACCAATGTATAAAGGTACCCTTAGTCTCTGAAACAGGATTCTTTTTAGTTAAGCCAATCAGTAATAGAGTTCACAGCTCAATGAGGAAATTTGAGCCTTCAATTTCATGTGTGTCTAGAATCATTGGCATTTGTATGTTAAAATGACAATTTGTCTCTACTTGATACTAGAAATAACATATAAAGAAAAGGAAAGTGAAATCTTTAGTTTGAAGTATGCAGTTCCGTGCAGTTCTAGTAATTCCATCAACTAGTAATATTCAAGACCCAAATCATCTCTTGAAAATGTCAAACAAAGGCTGTATTCTTATACATTGATTAATATTCAGATATTTCTATTAATATAAACTTAATTATTTTATACGGCTGTTAGTTATATTTTCCACAAATCTTAGATCATAGTTATTGTTTTGTTTAAGCCGTATTCATATGCCATATTATCTAAAAAACACAAATATAGGTTAGAATCTGACTCGTAAACCTTTGATTTCTCAAGATATTTCTCAATATATTTTATCATTACATACCAGTAGGCTACTATTCAGCATTTTATATATTATTTTTCATGATTTTTAGATTAAAACTTATATTTGAAAGTTTATGTGTATTCATCTCATTGTACAACAATTTAGGGGCCTAAAAAAAGTGGATAGCTCAATTCTGGCGTGTTGGATTGTCATCTGCCAGGCACTAATGTTCTAATATTCTGTCTTCAACAAAAAGATAGCTATTAGAAATGTAAGTTCTTGCATGATTTTTCTATGGGCAATATTTTTAATTTGTCTTGATGAATCTGATTGGTCAGAAAGTGACTTCTCCACCAATCATAACATGAATTCTCCACCAATCAGAATGTGAATTGAAGCATGTTGATAATATTGGCCTGTTGTGTGAAGGGTTTAGGTGTGGAAACAGACTCTTTAAGATGAAATACCAGCATTAATATAATTTAGTAAGCAAGGGAACAAAATTGCCCAAAACTTAACTCAGATGACATCATAATTTCAAGAGGTTCTGAAATGAGTTCTGTTTTTAAAAACAAATTTTATTGTACATTACCTACAACATTTACACAAAACACATACAATAAATAACAATAAATTAGGCTCAGAATTTGTGACATTTGAGAGAATTTATGAAAATGGCCCTGCAAATCTATCCTGTAATAATATTGTTGCAAAAATAAAACATGTTCCAAGATCTAAGATTTCTTTTAATGGAATACCACTTCTTAGAATATACATAAAATTTAGATTTTCAAACCTGGCCAATAAGAGAATAGATTCATCATTGGACTAAAATGGTGTCCTAACTATACAACAGTATACCTGTATAGTCTGATAATTTCATTAATTCTCATTGGCCTTGATGTAGTTATGGCCGTGCAGAGCATGTTTGATTCATAATTTTCTCATATTTAAAAAGTTTGTTTAACTCTATCCTGACCCTGTTTGATTCATGATTTACTCATATTAGATAAATTGTTTCAAACCTGACCTTGTTTGATTCATAATTTACTCATGTTTGAGAAATGTCTCAATCCAGACCCTGTTTAATTAAAAATTTCATCTAAGCAGCAAATTGATATCAGCCAAGTGCTTCCGAATCTTCCTGACCAGCGTCATGAGAAATTACTGTCATAGGCCAATAAACAGTAATGGCAACAAACATAAAAGATTTTTCTAACTCTAGCAGGACAAATATACCTGTGTGAGAGCTGTTTTAAGCTTACTGACCAACATCTGTGGCTGAATGATAAACAGAACCATTACTTTATTGGATTCCACCTAACTTTGATCCATGTAATATAATGTCATGTACACAGTTAAAAAATAAAAGATATTTCTGACAACAACATTGGTTGAATGTTAGACAGGATCCATATGACAGTAAAAATGAAAAACATAAAAGATTCAAGACTCAAGCTGGATGATTATCCCTGTTATATAGCTGCTTTACACTCAGCTAAGTATTTCTGAATCCTACTGGCCAAGTACTGTGAAATGAGCTGAATGTTAGACAGGACCATTCAATGGATTCCACCTTTGATTCATGTAAAATAATTACTGTCATAGCCCAATACACACTTAAACTAATAATAGTAAAAGATTTTTCTGACTCAAGCCGGACGATTATCCCTGTTTATAGCTGGATTAAGTTTTTCTGAATCTTGCCAGCTGACAACTGAGACATGAGCTAAATGTTAGACAGGATCCATTAGTTAAAATGAAAAACATAAATGATTTTTCTGACTCAAACTGGACGATTATCCCTGTTTTATAGCTGGATTAAGATCAGCAAAGTAAGCATGTTTAAACCCTCATCAGCTGATATTCTACCATTAGGATA